ATATATATATATATATATATATATATATATATATATATATATATATATTACGGAATATGATCAATGTAGAGAAATAAATAGAGAGATAAATGGGTATAGGAGTATATGTAAATGTGGATATAGGGAGGAAGCTAGAAGGGTTGGAAGAATGGATGGAGAATGGAGAGAAGAGAGGAGGATAGTTATAGGAGGAGAGTTCAACGCGAGTACGGAAGAGAGAGGAGGATGGAGTGAGGGTAAAGGAAGGGAGGAGGAAGAAAGACAGAGGAGATCAAAGAACAAGAAGGTGAATGGGAAAGGCAAACAGTTGCTGTAGTTAATAGAAGAAAGAGGATTCGTGATAATGAATGGGAATGTGGTTAGGGATGAAGGGGATGAGTTTACAGGAGAAAATGGGGAGAAGTGATTGATTATATACTGGGAGATGGGAAGATGTTGGTAGAGATGATGAGGATGGAGGTGGGTGAGGAAATAGGATTTGGCAGTTGGTGAATGAGAGAGAGCGAGGAAGGCTGGAATAATGAGGGAACTGAAATGGAGATATAGGATAAATGTTTTATGAGAGTGATGGGGGAAGTAGACGAGAAAATGGTCAGAGGAAGGAGAGAAGAGGAGAAGGAGGAAGAAATAGGGTGGAAGGAGATAAAGGAGATTATGAAGAAGTTGAAAGATGGGAAAGCTATGAGGTTAGATGAAATACTGTACGATATATGGAAATATGGAGGGGAAGAGGTGGAGAAATGTGCATGTAGGATGTGTAAAAGGATATGAATAGGAGAGGGATGGCCGGAAGAGTGGAAGAAATGGATTGTCGATAAGGAAGAAAGGAAATAGATAGAGAGTAGAGGATTATAGAGGATTGAGATTTGATGCCATCATTGTATAAATTATATACAGTAGTTAGTAGGTATGATAGACCGGTTCTAATCCAGGTCCTCTGAGGGGGGTGAGGGGCGGGGGGTACCACGGACAGGGGTATGACGTCACCGCGGGGGGTATGACGTCACCGCTGGAGAGGAGGGGTTATCAGCGGTCGGTAATTTGGAGGGCGCATACCGATATTACCGACAGTCGGTAATTTTTTACCGATATTATATAACATTTAATTACATAATTTTTACCAACATATAATTTTTACCAACAGATAATTATACAATACCGATAATACTAACGATCGGTAATTTATTATCGATATTATATACCAACATTTAATTACTTAATTTTTACCAATAGGTATATATTTACATAATTTTTACTGTCATATTTACATAATATCGATAATCGGTAGTTACCGATATTATATAATTTTTCTATCTGCTTTCAATAGATCATTTTATCGATCCGCGGCGGATTTTTCGCGGCGGTTTTCGCGGCCGTTTTTTCGCGGCGGTTTTTGCGGCGGATTTTGCGGCGGTTTTGCGGCAGCCCGCGCCGTCCGCGTCGCCCGCGCCGCCCGCTCGCGTATTTCGCGGTGTAATTTTTTATAGTCGCAGCTGCAAATTCTTAGAGTTTGCAACTGTTATTAAATATCACTGCACGACGACATATTGCATACGTATGCATTCGACAGTTAGATGCGCAAGAAGAAGAATGTGACACATGATATATTTATTACTAATGAGCACGTACACTGTGCCCCCGCGACAAGATTTTGTAAGCGTTTGCGTGTTATGTATCATGGATAATATGTTATGTAAAAAACGGTAAAGAACGGTAAAGTAACGGTAAAGAACGGTAAAAAACGGTAAAAAAAAAACGGTAATAAAACGGTAAAGAACGGTAAAGAAACAGTAAAAAACGGTAAATAAATGGTAAAAAAACGGTAAAGAACGATTAAAAAAACGGTAATGAAACGGTAAAGAAAGATAAAGAAACGATAAAAAACGGTAATGAACGGTAATGAAATGGTAAAAACGGTAATGAAACGGTAAAGAACGATAAAAAACGGTAAAGAACGGTAAAAAACGGTAAAGAACGAGAATGAAACGGTAAAGAACGGCAATAAAATGATAAAACCGGTAAAAAAACGGTAAAGAACGGTAATGGATACCAAAAATCGTAAAAACGATTACCTAAACGGTGTATTCCAATATTTATATCAAAAGTACAGTCCAAAAGTATTCATGTAAGATCTCTCTCTTATGCCTCACAATGTAGCATTTTAGTGCTGTCGCATCGATTTGTGGTTGACAGTAAGATGTTCAAAAAAATGTGAAACCAGATATTATCATGAAGATCATAGAGGTATGCATACTTTGCACGTTTTGAAACATATAAAATCATGAGTATTACATTAGCACACAGTTAAGTCGAGGTCCTAGCAGCAACAGATACAAGACACAAGCAACAAATTGAAAAAATGGTAGAAAATGGTAGAAAAATCAAGCAAGATATCCATGGTGCAGTTTTTGCATGACAGAGAACTCGGTTTGCGAGGAATAAACAAACGCGGTGTGAAGGAAAATGTTAAAGTTCTTAAGTTCTACTCTCTAAATAGTTGGCCCCATGATTTAGTGTAGGAGCACGCCAATCAGATAGTAGAAGACACATGTAGAATTACGACTGAGAATGCAAGTGAGATAAACATTAAATTGAATGAGTTTATAATGCATCCAGACATCAGAGTGCTGAAGAACTATAACATTCAAAATTTCTATATTAAAATTCCGGCAGGTAGTGGCAAGTTTACACGTATAGCGTTGTTCCATAATATACATTTATGATGATTTGTGGAATGCTGATATGCCAATTTTGAAGATAGAGCGACACGATAAACGTGAACTTTGTATATGTTATCGAGACAGTTTGAAGTGACAAAAAATAGATAAAATCATTTTGGATGATGAATCTAATGAATCTATGCTTTACGCCGATGAAATATGACGATGTCAACGGTGTCCGTATAGTGAGTGGGATCTGATCTTCATGTCCGCACATTAATTGACTGATTGAACGATAAATTTGAGAAATTCTCAGTGCAATCTTAAGTATCACAATGTAACATTTGTTGTGTTGATACATCAATGTGCGGATGTGGTTGACTCCAAGACGTCGTCAGCCTGCATGTGCGACATATGATGTTACTATTAATGAACACGTTAGACTGTACTGATTTTGCACATTTGCAATCCCTCCTAACAAAATATATTTGTTAGAAAGAGATAGCGATGGACCATCTAAAAGTTACCCAGGAGTCGCCGACAAATAGTTAAAGTTTGAATCGCGAGATACAAAAATGTTCTACATAGTAGAATACCGTAGACGTAGAATACGTCTACCTGAGGAGATGATTTGGATACCAAACCTTTCACGTAAGTTTTTTAATAGATTGTATAATAATAATAATAACCCTGATTATTTATATTTTTAAATAAGAATTAATTCAATTTTAGCAATGTTCGAGGAAGACCACATATACGTGGAGTGGTTGAGACAAATTTTACATAAGTTTACATCCAAATTTCGTGTTTCTGTATAGAACATAAATATTAAAATTAATCATTAAATGTGATTTTAGGTGATCCAGAAGCATATGATCCAGAATCATCCGAAGGCAATGAGGATGAAGAAATAGGTGTACAGTCGACCAATGGTGAGAGACCAGACAACATTTTTATAATTTGTCATCAAATTTCCGATTTTTTTTTGTATAGAAAAGCGTTAAATTAATTTATATTTGATTTCAGAACATATAAAAGTCATCAACATTGATGACTCTGAGGAGGAGGATGAGGAGGACAACATCGCCGACAGTGAAAAGGATGAAGAAATAGGCGTACAGTCGGCCAATGGTGAGAGAGTAGACAACATTTTTTACAATTCGTCATCAAATTTTCGATTTTTCTGTATAGAAAAGCGTTAAATTAATTTTATATTTGATTTCAGGACATATAGAATTCATCAATATTGATGACTCTGAAGAGGAAGATGAGGACAACATCGCCGCTAATGAAAATGATGAAGAAATAGGCGTACAGTCGGCCAATGGTGAGAGAGTAGACAACATTTTTTATAATTTGTCATCAAATTTTCGATTTTTCTGTATATAAAACCATTAAAATTAATCTTTTGATTTCAGAACATATAGAAGTCATCAATATTAATGACTCTGAGGAGGAGGACAATATCATCGACAGCGAAAATGATGATACAATAAATTAAACAACATTATATATATATATATATATATAT